TTCCTATTTTCCAGATAACGTAGCAAGTAGCTGTCGTCTTAAGTAAATCAAAAATTTACAGCCAATTCATGTGATCGGTATCGGTAATGGGCAGCAAAAAATCTGATCGGAGCATCCCTAGTATTTCAATATGTGTAAAACTGACAAAGTTATAGCTACTTTTGTGTTTGTTATTGTTGAACAGCTCTGGCAGCCATCTTGAATTGAGTAGACTCCCAAAGTCAGTGAACAGAAACACAGACACAGGCAACAACATTATCATCCGCCTTTTGCCTTTTGCCTTTTGCCAGTGAGAACCATAAAGTGACAGAAGAACATTAAACACATGCCTAGAAAAATGTTGCGAGGACATTCCACACATACAAGTGACAAAACTATTCTAGAAAGCGTGCGGTTTTTCTATCCTCTATCATTTCTGTTGAGCCTTCAGCTCCTATTCTTATGTCCCCACGTTTAGCAGAACCACAGCGTTCTGAACACACATGCTGCCGGGACATCAGACTGAGAGGCCAGATCAACAACATCTGCAGGGGCACGTCCGCAGAACAGATGATGAGAGACGGAGCTGTTGTACCGCTCGCCACAAACAACATTATCAGAGCCTCTCTGGGAGATGAGACGACAACTAAAAGAACTCAATCTATCAACGTTTGTAGCTAATTTATTACAACTGTCAACCTTGTCAGGGTGTCTGCAGGTTCAATGTACAGGAAGGATATCTGTAGAGTTGATACTGTAGCTTCACCCTGCAGGTGTGAGTCAAAGAGACAAACAGCTGTGTTTTTATTATAGTAGCAAAAAAGATGTAGATGGAGTTAAGCGGTTCCACACTAAATTATATCAGTGGAAATAATAAAAAAAAAGTTTAATTTATTGGACGAGACGTCTAAAATTAAATCTAAAGCTGAAATCTTGGTATTAAATTTACGGATGCTACTTCACAACAAAGGGACCTTTATAATGGGTTTTTAAATGCTTTACACAAAGGCTTTCCACAAGTTTGTAAACAAGTTATAACGCATTAGAAATCATTCTTAAATCAGTGATAAAAAACACTTCATATGTTGAAGCAGGTTCAAAATTTGGTAGGATTATATGCTGTACAGTGAGAATGGAGATTACAGATAAAGTTGGCTCACTTTTTGGCATTAAAACAAGTCAGCATTTTTTAAAATCTAATACACAGTAACTGTTTATTAATGATTTATGAAGTGCTCACAGCCTAATAAATAACTCTATTATTAACAATTTGTAAGTCATTTATAAAAGTACCCTCATGGTACCATCTTAGAAAATGCAGTTTATGAAATGAGTAGAAGATATTAATATTACAAAAACTAGTTGTAAATTAAAACAGTTTGTTTTGGATAATTAAAACTCCTGAAAATGTCTCCACTGTGTTCTACACACAGTTTGATTAGCAAGTTTTTAGACACATTACTGATAAGTAAAAGCACACATCAATTATATATATATATATAT